GGACAGTGATTAAAACCAAAGTGTATGATAAGACTGAAGGTACTTCCTTACCCAAAGAAGCTGAAACATTACCCAAAGAAGCTGAAACATAGACTGGAAGCATCAGAGAGTCCTTTGAACACCAAGTATAAATATAGAACATTATCTTGTTAGATGATGATAGGAGGAAAGAAGGAAGGAAGGAAAGAAGGAAGGCAGGAAAGAAGGAGGGATGGGAGAGGGAGAAAAGCAAGAAAAAGAAAGAGAAACAGATTTTTATCCTGATTCACAAGATAACACAATTGAGATATATTTATTTTGAGCTTCTCTTTTTCCCTTTCCTAGATCTATACAGCTACAATCATTTAAAACTAAAGTACAGATCACACTGAGAACATGTTAACGTCAGAAGAAGTATGCATGTACAAAAATTCTGGGTGGTAGATTGGCAGCCTCTGCTCATTTGGAACGTTGCAAGGAGAAATATATTGTTCTGGATTAGTGGACACTGGAACTTTTTTAAACAAAAATCTCTTAAGTAAAAGAAAGGTTAAGAGAACAATTATAAAAATAAGGATAACTTTAATCAAATAAAAACTTATTTGAAATTTACCCATGAAACAATGAAAGTAAAGCAAAAACTAAATTCAGTAAAACTGCTATCAAGAGACATACTGTACTCTTTGATTAAAATCAAAACCAGACAGGAGGTAACAAACTACAGCTTTGAATAACATGACAGAAATAGATAGGGAGAAGATAGAGACATAGCTAGGGCTACAGAGAAAAGAAAGAGTAAGATAAATAAAGTGAAACCACCAGAAACATGAGGAAAGCTACTAAAAACATGGAGTCCACAAATTCAACTCCAAACAACTTTTATTTACTATTTAATATTCGAATGGCCTAATACTAAGAAATGTAAAAAGTCTCTTTCTGTATCTTTTCCAATTAATTTAATAGTCATTTAGTTAAACTCAGTTAAAACTTGGATGTATTAGGATAATTTAATGGGGGAAAAAAGGCCATAAAACAATTTATATTTAGGAACTTTTAAGGTTATAGTTAACTTATACACCTGGCAACCTCTTTCACACAATGCCCTCAACTTCAGCCCTGAGAGTCTGCACACATTTTCAAGCTATTTCTGGGAAGGATTTAACTGCCTTTTAGCATTTAATGGGAGTATAAAGCCTTCAGAGTTTAATAACTTTCATCAAAACAAAGCTATTCTGATGTTTACCTCCTGCCAATGCCAAACAAATGTGGGCTTACTAAGTTCTACCCAACTATTATGGTTTGGAATATTCTTAATATACACTACTTGCTTCAATAAAATATCCAAATATATACTACTTTTCCTCTGAATACTCAAGTTATATAAAGACTGTTCAGTTGAAATGTAAAGAAATAACCAATAAAAGTACTGAAGACCTAGAATTCAGTGTTTTGTTTTGTTTTTTAAGTTGTCTCATAATTTTCTCTACAAAACTCTTCTTTGGCTTCTTCCCCTGGTTCATTTAAAAAAGAAAAACAACAAAAAGAACCACTTTTTGTTGTTGGTTTTTCCAATAAGTGTTTTTTAAAGTATATTTTATTTTTAGCTGAAGTTGAGATAACAGAAGGGGAAGGGGGAATATAAGCTACATGTTCTGTCTATTCCATTTCATGCCCTATGTTAGCCTCTCTTAAAACATCATCTCACATGTCATACCCTTCTTATAACTACAAAAACAAACCCAGCACGCACTCCCCAACTGAGATCCTCTATTAGGAGGAAACTCAGCAGTAAAAATAAGAAAAACAAACCTATCAGTCTTTCTGGAGAATACCACTTGAAAGTTGAGAATCCATTTATAAGATTTCAGAATGAAGGAAATTATTTAAGCATGCAAGAAGTAAATATCTTTATCTCAATTCCCAATCTTAAATTCTTTAGTTTGTTGACAACTTTAGATGGTCCCAAAATAAAGCACAAATTTTTAAACCATGGCTTGATACAGAAAAAATTAGAACATTTATTAGAATGACTATCAGTGCAATATTAAAATATTAATGTCTTATAATCAGCTATTTAAAAATCATTAAAATGTAATTACTACATATCAAACAGGCATTTGAAAGTTTACCTTTTCACATGAAAGCCTTTTTAACATTACAGGATTTTTGGCTATTTCTAAAATTTCAAAAAAAGAATTTACATTTCCATAATTGCACAAAATTGTAGTAAAATGCTGATGAATTCAAAATACTAAATTATGTTATATGATTTCCATTATTTTTTGCAAAATATTACAAATTTCCAATGGAAAAGTCAATTGTTATTCAAAAAGCAGGGACAATATTAAAATATTCTCAGTACACTTGGTAAAAACCTGTATTTAAGAAATTTGTATATAAAATTGTTATTTTAAAGGTATAGTCTATATTCCTTATTTTCTAGCTGTACGCAGAATAGTGAATTTACTTATCTGTCTTATAAACTTCAGTTTTAACAATCACTGAAATATCATTTCATCTTTAAAGTATTTCTGTATGTGATCAAATATCATGGTATTTTACTAACTGAAAAACTTATTGATTAGCTACACAGAGCCAAATAGCTGTCATTATAGCCAAAACTCAACATTCACAAGAGCAAGCAGTGAGAATATGGGCCCTCCCTTGAATTATTTCTCTTTATTTTCTTAATAGCAATGCTGAATGCTTTATCTTCCATTTGCCCATAAATAAAACAAGCAATGAAAAGAACAAAAGAGTGAAGAGCAAAAAGAAGTAGGGCAATTAGATAACTCATAAGAGACAGACAGGAAATAAAATTAAGGTAAAGAGTAAGATGTCAAAAGATCTGCTCAGAGTTATTACCATCATGAAAACATTTCTTTAAAGACGTATCACTAATTGGGTATAGTTAGAAGTTGGCTATGCAGTAACATTAACAAAAGCTCAAAAAGCCAACCATTAGATTTGAACATATTAGCAACAGCCAGAATCATGGGTTTATGCCCGCATAATAGCTGTGTGAACTCAGTAAATTTGTGCAAAGCACTTCATCTCTGTAATATAGTTTCTTCATTCTGAAGCCCAAGAATAATAAAATCTATCTTGATTAACTTAAAAGGTTTTCATGAGACCCAAAGGAGGTAAAATATGTGGGAACCATTCAACATCACATACAAAATTAACGGTAGTATCTTTATTTTAATGAGAATAAGAGTGGCTTACTTTCTGTTTTTTTTTTTAATGCAGGATATATTTTTTAGCCTTTCTGGTTTATGTTTCACTCATAGTCTGCAATTCTATGGATACTACCCAATTCAACTTATTACATCAATTTGTTTCTTCTGCCCTTTAGAGGTTTTTCTATCTCTTATCCATAAAAAGAAACAGAAAAATATCCTCATCTAAAACTCTTATTTAACAATAAACAATTTTTAAGGCAGTAATATAATTAGCTAAAAGTATAGATTACAGCTGACTTCTCCTGGTTACATTACTAATTTTTAATGGTCTAAGAGCAAATCACTTAATTCTCAAGGTGCTGTAGTTTTTTTATCTACTGAAAAGGTAGAATATTAGTGTGACCACCTTACCTGATAAAGGAAAATTCACCTTTGTAACTGAAAAGTTAAAGCAGTATTCAATTATGAGAGAAAAGTTTCCTTCCAAGCCCTCTACCAATACAATAATGCCCTTTGGAAATACAAAACTACTAAATGAAGCCACTAGTATATCTAGAGCCCACACATTTTTTTTTTTTTTTTTGAAGCTATAAAGACAAACTGAGAAATGACTAATTTCCTTATTCAACAGATATTCCAAAAAGGAGCAAATTAGAAACAAAAGTATAGAAAAGAAAAAAAGATTTTTACTAGCATATTTACAGATTTGCTTTTTAAAACATCTCCATACAATCCCAAAGGAAATCCATCCATCCATCCATCCATAACTAACAAGTGCACACCAAATAATTAACACTGTTTTCTAGAAACAGAGGTTTTACAAACCTTATTTCTTACTGAATGTGCACGAAGGCACAGCCTTAAAGATAGCTTAAGTTATTTCCCTGACTAATGAATTAGCTGTTATATCTGCATTCTCACAACACAGAAATAACTTACTCTGATTATTATCAATCAAGCACAGCATCAAATACATGTAATTTTTCCACAAACCATTATTTCACAAACAACTGTTTTGTGAAATAATTTATTTGGCAAAATTCCGACCATATGTACTAACTGCATTGTTTTATGGTTCATTACTAAAGGTTTTTATAATTTTTTTTTAATTTAAACATGCTGAAATAGTAGAAATATATTTTTTTCTTTTGTTTTCTATTGAATGGTATTTCTAATATACAGAAAGTAGAATTTTTAAAAATATAATTACATAAGCTGTAGTAGTTGAGGAGACCTTATATTTCATACAGTTGTTGGACAGAAGTGGAACCAGCTCCATAAGCTGTATGTGATACATTAAAACATTGTAATTCAAATGCTCAGCAAATTATGTTAAAATCTAAGAACCAAAATGTGGAGAGAAAGGGGTATAAACTCAAATATTAATATACTACCATTTGATTAAAAGCAAGAAATGCCTGATTCTTTGGCTTTAATTTTAAAATCAACGTACTGGAATCAAATTCTGTTGTGCTAAAAGACTAAAAAAGTACAATACAATCTAAGTATTTATTTATAATTTCTTCACATGGTTTTCCAAATATTTTTTCTTCTCTATATTGTATTTTCAGACTTGTAAATTTCCAAAGTTTCACTGCTAAAACTAATAAAACTAAAACAGTTATCACCATCTACAGACACTGTAATATGCACAATTAATTTTCTTTTGCATTCAGCATGTCAATAAAGGTGTGGAATAAATCATTCTTTATTGATGAAAATTTAAAGTCAAAATAATAAACCAGTTTTTAAATGGATTTCCTTTGTGACAGGCAGAGTACCTTTGTCAAAAAGCTCCCAAATCTTTAGCAGGTATAAAATGAAGAGACTGATAATTACCATATTGAAATAAGATCGTATTTTGACTCCTCTTGCCAGATCCCACACTATCACGTTTCCATCATGACCAGCAGAAAAGAGAACTCTAGGGTCGAATGGGTGTGGTTCGAGAACAAACACCTCATCTTCATGACCCTGGAATATTTTTGAAGTGTCAAGAAATCGTAGATATTAAAAAAAGAAAGAAAAACAAAACACAATGAAACATCAATATGGCAATATTTCTAGAAACAAAGTTTTATGTTTTATTAAATTGGCAAAAATCTTTAAATTTGTCTTGTAGAAATAACAATGAAACTGAGCTAGTATCATTGTCCAGGCCTTTGCTATCATCTAGTAACACACGAGACTACTGTTAGTGGATGGATCTTTTCATTATGAAAAGACAGCAAATATCTACTATACATTTCCAAGCCTAACCTGTTTAACTGCATTGTTAAATTATTCCCAATCACTCGCAAACCCCTGTTACACCAGCAAGCAAGAGTTTTTAGCTAACATGAAAGACTTTATTCCTCAATGAGAATATTTCATTCTATAGTGAGCTTCAATTATATCAAGTAAAATTAGAATTCTTTTCTCACCATCAGGACATGAATTAGTTGACCAGTGTAAGAGTTCCAAACTTTCAGAGTCATGTTATTAACTGCAGTTATAACTGTATTGTCATGTCGATCCCAAGCTACCATAGTAACTTTCATTTTCGTGATTTTATCTTCTATTCCTTGAAGGTTTTGGCTGAAAATGAGGAAGTATTTGTTTACACTATTTAAGTACTGACAGAACACAAACCATAATGCATAATCTATAATTTGTATTTATATTCATTAACCTAATAACTGTCACTTAACAGTAACTGGAAAGTTTGAATCAACATGGAATGATGATAAAAATCCCTGCACTGGGTCAGGAAATCCAGTATTTCCACAATTCCAGCACTTCTAAATCATTAGTAACATGATCTTGGCATAGACATCACTGCTATAACTCTATCTAGATCTAGGAATTCTGTGCCATGCTGCTCACTCTCCACCTTTTACTGTTGCTGTCATCCCTGCTGACTGTTCTGTTTTCCCATTCATCTGAGATGACTAAACATAATTACAAGTGGAAAAAATGATAAAATATTAAAACCAAAATAACAGTTACAACACGGAGTATAATTTATCTTGGCTGAGGAAACCACTGTATATAAAACATTGTCCCTCTGTAATAAAATGAAACATAATAAGTTCTGGCTTCTGAAAAAAATATTTAAAAATTATTCTTACAGTGCTTTTATCATCCCCTTAAAAATATATTAATGCAGCAGATCTCCTCAAATATGCCAGTGAATCATTTCATAAAAATCAACACTGCTCATCTCCAAATGCACCTATAGTTATTGCAGAAAAGTAGTAATTTTAACATGACATATAATTTTATAGGCTGAGTCACTCTAACCTGCACTATAACATACTTTAAATAATCAATATCTACACAGTATTTCAAATTTGACCTCTTACCCTACTGGACGAGTAGCCATATCCAACAAAATGCTCTTCCATTCTCTTCGTTTAAATTGCCAAATGCGTGCTGTCCCATCACGACTCCCACTTACAAATCTATATTAAAAGGAATTCAATCCCCCAAAGAAAAATCACATATGCTTCACCAAAATACACTTTTCCCAGAGATCTCGTTTAAAAAGACAGCATTCATCTTTATTTATACAGCATTCTAATAACTTCTGAAACTTTATGGGCCTTTTTAGAATTCTATATACAAATGTTCCAATTTTCATGACTAGGTCTCAAAAATAACATTTTCAAAAATGATTTCAGGTCACTATTTACTACTCCAGAAATAAAATCAATATTTTCCAAGGAAAAACAATAATTTTCCTCTCAATATTAAAGAATCTGACTTACTCTACTCAACGTATTGTAAGTAATTTTATTTCCTTTTATAACAAGAACATGGGAAAATTTACACAATATCATCAATAAACAGGTCTGCCTCAAGCATTATACTGTGACACATTTCCAAAAGCTTCTCTACATTTTGATACATATCTGAAACATACAGGGTAGTTTAATAAGCAGTTATTGGCCAGGCACGGTGGCTCATGCCTGTAATCCCAGCATTTTGGGAGGCCAAGGCAGGCAGATCGCAAGGTCAGAGATCGAGACCATGCTGGACAACATGGCAAAACCCCGTCTCTAATAAAATACAAAAAATTAGCTGAGCATGGTGGTGAGCACTTGTAGTCCCAGCTACTTGAGAGGCTGAGGCAGGAGAATCGCTTGAACCCAGGAGGCAGAGGTTGCAGTGAGCCGAGATCGCGCCACTGCACTCCAGCCGGTGACAGACTGAGACTCTGTCTCCCAATAAAAAAATAAGCAGTAATTACTAAAAGAGTCCAAGTATACTAACATTATTAAAAATAAAATAAAGACGTGTCTATGAATGTAATGGCTGTATTCACTTTTTAAGTATAACTGGTCACGATCTTTATTTTAGGTAGGTGATTATTTCTCACACATCTCTAAATAAAACCTGAATACTAAAATTGTCTTCATTTCATAATTTTAAAGTTAGAATTAAATGAGACAAATATTTTACCTGTTACTAGTGTTGGAAAACTGGATACTGTCAACTTTGTCCTATATATAAACAAATAAAAAAGTGGGTGCTGAATATAAACTGTTAGACTCATACAAATTTTACTCATCTAATTCTTTTCACCAATACTTACAGTATGAAACTCCAATTCTGATATTTTCTCTGGCTGACCTGATCCAAAAAAATAAACCCGAATAATATGATCTGTGCTTCCCGTCGCCAGAAACATTCCACCTATGAAGAATAAAAGCAATTACTTATTAGTAAAATGTAACTTCAAAATCTCTGAAAATTAGATAAAATGTAAGCAAAATTACAATATATATTGAATTAATATTTTACTCCAAAACCATTCACATTTATTCTCTATAAATAACACATCTAACTGAAATTTAAGAAAGAAGTTTAAGAATATATCTATCTTGGACTAGAATGAATTTTTCAATGTGTACAGAAGTAAAGCTTTGCTTAAAAATAATTTCACTAAATTATATATAACCATACGATATCATTCATCTTCACTAGAAAATACTTCTCTCTCAACTCTGCTGAAATTTTTCTCTTGTCTCATTTCCCATCTGTCAAAATCTTATCAAACTTTTAAGGTCCAACTCCCTCAGTGACTTTTCTTTACAAACTTTGAAATCAAATGAGGCTGCTCTCTTCAGAACTCCCTTAAGACTCTGTTTTGTAGCACATTCATTTTACCTTGCATTACAGTTATTTCTACATGCAGTGTACTCAAGAGTAATACTCTTCCACAGTATTGAAAGCAATGCCTGTATATAATGAAATACTTAACTACTTTTGCTAAATGATCTACCCACCAACCCCTTAAAAAAATTAAACTGTCTTTGAAAAATCCAGAGTACTCTGGATGCATGTATGGGGCCTATATTTGTGTGATTACAAGGAACACTGAATCCATAACAGTGACACTAGAAATCTGTAAGTCAGAGAATGAAGATGTTTGGATATTAGTATGGCAAAAACAGATTCACTTCATCAGTTTGCCATCCCTCATCTCAGGTAATACTCCTATACCCTATCATAAAATAAGCAGAAAAAGTAAAACTAAAACTAAAGGTAGGAGGAACAGGTATTAGACAGTATTTGGATCTATTCATGTTTCTTTAATATCCAGATTTAGTAACTTGTTTAAACACACCCTAGCATCTATTCAAAATGCTGATGCATCAACACAAATCTGAATTGGAATCTTGGCATGATTACACACACTTTTCAAAGCACAAATAACAATAGATAGCAAATTAACTAATAAAGATACACAAATATCAATCAAATTAATTTTACTTAACTATAGAATACCTCCAAAATCCATGAAAACATAAACCAGATTTAAAATACCATTCTTACAATGAAACAACTATTTAAACATTCATTCTTTAACAGAGTCAATTTTGAAACTATTCTCCTACTAGAACATTATAGTCTTCTTAAAGAAAAATATTAGTTATGTGATTCTATAAACTCTTGCATAATTGAAGTGTTTCTAATAGTTTATAATAATTCTCGGTTGCTTATTAGCAGTGACATATGTATAAGAACATGATTTATAATACAATAGTAAATATTTTCCTAAATATTATGTGCTGCACTAGAAGGTTTCTAAATGAATAACTTTAAACGGAAAATAAGAATGGGGGGATCTTACCAGCACTAAAAGAAGAACAGATCATTTGAACTCCAGGCCGAGGGCGCTCTGTAAATTTTGCAGGTCTTGGGCTATAATACAAAAAATAAACAATTTAAAATACCCTAAAGGAACCAATAGCACCAGAAATAATCTGTTTCAAAAAAGAATCCACAGAAGGACAAAATTAAGTGAGAAGCAACAGATGGCTCCCTTCCTAAAAACAACTTAGGAATCATTATGTGTCATAAATCAGCAGACCTTGTAGAACTTCCAGCTAGATACAGATTTTGTAGGAGCTCCTGATTACACAATTATGTAAATGGAACAATCCTGTCATTCCATACATATAGTTCCTAGTTACACTTACTTCTAATCAAATTTTAAATGTTCTCAGTTTTTCATACAGAATAGCAATGTACATAATAAGGAACTAAGCTATTCACAAATACAAACACACTAGCAAAATAGGTGCTGTGTCTGTGCCTTATGTATACCACCAGTAACTGAACTTTTTCAGTATTTTACATTGTTAATTAAGCCTCTCCTTCTTTAACCTACTAATGTGATAAAACATGTCCTTTAAGACCCCCACAAGTAGGAATCCAACACTTATCCTCATGAAAATCTGAAGATAATCTGGCTCATGTCAACTATAATGCTGATTCAAAGTAGCAATCTATAGAAAATGCGTTACACTTAGCTATATTTATATTAATTGCATAACTGTATTATAGATTACAGGTTTTATATTAATACTAACAATATTAAATGTTTAATGTTACAGTCAACCAAATGAGAAAATGAAGATTTTTATAATGATACTAGCTGTAATACATTTAACAATGTATATGTAATGTTCCAATATACTGATTATATTTGAAGCCCTACTTACTGCACAGTTCTTCTACACTATTTGAGGAAATGCAAAAATAATTAGAGCCTTAAGCCTATATAACTTTCACAATCTTAACAAATTCAGAGTTTTAGTTTTTTGATCATTTGCTAGAAAAAGGTGTATAGTTAAAATATTTCTGAGCTATAGGTTGGTGCAAAAATAATTGCAGTTTCTGTCATTTTTTTTTTCTACTTTTTGCTAATAAAATAATGGCAAAACCGCAATTATTTTTCACCAACCTAATATTATATATATTCTGAGCAATAAGAATTATCCTTTATACTGACACAGAATAATTTTAAAAATTAAGTTTGTACATAGTTTTAAATTAGTATTTTCAACAAATTCTATTAACATTCACAGGCTCTAATGTAACAGCTGAGCAGAACAAATATCATTTAAAGAGACAGATAATAAAACATTCTTAAAACCTAAACATTTATTCAGAGCAAAATTAACTGTAATTTAAGCAAATTAAACTGAATTATGAAAGCAACTAAATGCACTGCTTTCATTAGGTATCTTATGGATTGTAGTTCTAGATTTTTGTTAATTTTTGGTACAACTGTTCATATAAGTTTGAAGCAAACCTTTAACCAAGATGAGACTCATCATAAAATATACAAACAGTCCTATAAACTACCATTTTTAAAAAGATTTTTATTTTAGAAAGGAAATCAATACATTAAAGAGATAGCTGCACTCCCATGTTTGCTGCAGCACTGTTCACAGTAGCAAAGATTTGTGTGTCTTTTTGTTTTGTTTTGTTTTCTGAGACTAAGTCTTGCTCTGTGGCCCAGGGTGGAGTGCAGTGGCACAATCTCGGCTCACTGCAACCTCGGTCTCCTGGGTTCAAGTGATTCTCCTGCCTCAACTTATAATTTTATAAGTTAAATTACAGTTGAATGACAAAAGCAATGAAATTATATCTTAAAATATTAGATTAGTGTGACAATGTAAGTAAATTATGTGTTTTATTTGTTTAGGTTTAAAGCAAATCAGTTAACTTAGTTTAAAGGAAAACATAAACACAGATGCTTTAGAACCTGATGGACAACCATGTAAGTCTTTGTCATTGTTAATGTTACATATTTTTAGACAATTCTCTTTACACACTGAATTATTTTGATTGTCCAATAAACTTAATAAAGCACTATAAGTTACTTTTTTTTTGGGAGAGAGAGCCTAATTCTGTCACCCCGGCTGGAGTGCAGTGACACTATCTTGGCTCACTGCAACCTCCACCTCCCAGGTTCAAATTATTCTCATGCCTCAGACTCCAAAGGAACTGAGATTACAGGTGCACACCACCACGCCCAGCTAATTTTTGTGTTTTCAGTGGAGACGGGGTTTTACCATGTTGGCCAACCCAGTCTCAAATCCCTAACCTCAGTCGATCCGTCCTCCTTGGCCTCCCAAAGTGCTGGGATTACAGAGTGAGAAAATGCACCCGGCCACAATAGCAAAGATTTGGAAATAAGCAGTGTCTGTAATAGATAAATGGATAAAAATGTGGTACTTATACACAATGGAATACTAGTCAGCCATAAAAAAGAATGAGATCCTATCTTTTGTAACCACACAGATGGAACTGGAGGTTATTATGCGAAGTTAAATAAAAAGACAAACATCACATGTTCTCACTTATTTTGGGGATCTAAAAATCAAAACAGTTGAATTCATGAGACAGGATGGTTATCACAGGCTAGAAAGGTAGTGGGAGGAAGAGGAGAGGTGGGTATGTATTACAAAAATAATACGAAGAATAAATAGGGCCTAGTATTTGACAGCACAACAGCGTGACTATAGTCAATAATAGTTATACACTTGTAAATAAGAGTATAATTGGATAGTTTGTAACACAAAGGACAAATGCTTGAAGGGATGCATACCTCCTTTAACACCATGTGATTATTAAGCACTGCATGTCTATATCAAAAGATCTCATGTACCCCAAAAATATATACACCTACTATGTACCCACAAAAACTAAAAGTAAAAAGATTTCATATTCTTAAAGGTAAAAAACAAGTGAGTACCCACAATTTGTTTTTAGATGCATTATTTGAGGAAACATTTTTAAAAAGGGCCTTGGGCGGAGTTCAGTTTTCAGTTCTACCACTTATCAAATGTGTGACCTTAGGCAAGTTAACACTTCTGTACCTCAGTCTCCTCACCTGTGAAACAGGGGTGGTAATAGAACCTATCTCAGAGTTGCTGGGAGATTTAAACCAGTGTGATTCACGTAAAGTGCTTAGTACAGTGTCCAATATGCTCAATAAATATTAGTATTTTTATTAGGTTCAGTAAGTTCCAGCCAATTCTTCAATGACTAACTGTGGTTTAGTTTGGCATAGTGGTTAAAAGGGGTTTCTGAAAGTATACTTCTAGTAGTATTTAAATCCTGACTCCAGTACCACCTGCTAACAATGTAACCTGCTGTGCCCCAGTTTGTTCCCCTATCTGCTCCAGAGATAGTAACTGTACCTTTCTCAAAGGGTTCTTACAGGAATTGAGATAACAAATGTGAAATGCTTAGTACTAGCCTGGCAGACTAAGTGCCTAATAATTACAAATACAAATTTGTAATAATATTATATACATATTTTAGGATTCCTAGTCTCTTTACACCTAAGTTTAAATATACTTGGACAGCTTCCTTCTACTCAGAGGAAGGAAGTAGCCCCTTCTACTCTGGGGCTAGCTTATGGTTAACTTGGCCACTTAGATTACCCATTTAAGAAACAGCATCTTTACTGGTAAGAGTTGATAATATACACATGAAAGTGAATTTATTAAGATATTTGAGTTCCCAAAGTTGAAGATTCATTAAACTAATGCAGATGCTGGGTTTCTAAAGTCATTTCCCCCAGCAGATTATACAAAAGTATTATAGCTCAATACAATTTTTGCCTTTGATTATTAATTGAATCCTATGTGACATAAACACAGTAGCAATCTAAAACCTGCCTAATTTTTGGCGGTTTTCGACCATGTGTAAATACATAAAGAAAGTAGGTGTTCCAAAACTTATATCTAAAGAGTAACAGATTATTCTTATTTTTATGAGATAGGATCTTGGCTCTGTCGCTGAGGCTAGAATATAGTGCTAGGATCACAGCTCACTTCAGCCTCCAACTCCTGGGCTCAAACAAGCGGCTCACCTCAGACTCCTGAGTAGCTGGGAGCATAAGTATGCATCACCATGCCTGGTATTTTGTTTGTTTGCTTGTTTAATTTTTGTAGAGACAGGGTCCTGCTATTTTACTGAGGATGATCTTGAAGTTCTGAACCCAAGTCATCTTCCTCCCTTAGCCTCCCAAAGTTCTGAGATTTCAGGCATAAGCCATCATGCCCAGCCAGATTACTCATTCTTACGCCTGAACTCTGAATTTATAAATTTTAAGGGATAATTTTAATGCCAAACAGAAAAGAAAATTACTTATAAATAACTAGAAAAAACTTTAAAGTCCAAAAATAAAAAAAAAATTACTAAGTCGTATATAAAAACTCTTTAGAACATAATCTAAGCTATTAAAATTAATATAAATACCTATGATAAAATAAAATCCTTTTCATGTATTTTCCTAATTATATCTATGTAAAAACATTGATGGAGAAAAAAATACTGTATTAGGGCAGCGATTTAGATGTGATTCACATAAAGGTTCTTAAAAAAATCATTTATATGGAATAAATCACTTCTCAAGTGTCCAGAAACATGAAATGTTACTGTACTTAGCAATATTAATCCTCAATAAGCACACATAAGATGAGAGTTTAATTCTGTAAAACATATTCTGTTCCTAAACCAATTTGATCATTATCACGCTTTCTTCTCTAAAAAAATAAGTAGGAAAAGAGAAAGGCATCCCAATCAGGTCCACAAGGAGGTAAAAATATACATAATGAAACAACAATTAACAATTAACTATTGCTATTGTCCATACACATCAGTAAAATATTTCAACTTTTATCCAAGTATCTATAGAAAGACTTTAGATATGAGGGATGCAACTAAAGTGAAGTCAACTTTCTTTTGTCCAAAGAACCATGTTTTAAATCACAATCTTTTCTCAAATGTAGTTTCATTATGTTACTCAAGCTATCATGGCCCCCAAGCTTCCATAAGTACCACTCTACAAGAATGTAAATACACATTAAGTTAAAAAAGCTTGCCTTGCAGTACAGATA